AAGAGAGAGGGATAGAGACTTAGAAACATCCATCAGCTGCCTCCTACACACCCCTACTGGGGATGTGCCTGCAACCAAGGTACATGCCCTTGACCGGAATCGAACATTTTAGTCCACAGGCCGACGCTCTATCTATCCACTGAGCCAAACCAGTTTTGGCTATTCTTTCAATTTTTATTTAAAAATGAATAGGGTAGGATTATATATATTCTCTCATAGCCTGCTTTTTCTCTTAATGTGTTATTTTTATGTTAAAAAATCCAGGCTGGGCCGGGACTGGTTTGGCTCAATGGATAGAGCGTCGGCTTGGGGACTGAAGGGTCCCAGGTTCGATTCCGGTCAAGGGCATGTACCTTGGTTGCGGGCATATCCCCAGTAGGGGGTGTGCAAGAGGCAGCTGATCGATGACTCTCTCTCATCGATGTTTCTAACCCTCTATCTCTCTCCCTTCCTCTCTGTATAAAATCAATAAAATATATTTTAAAAAAAAAAAATCCAGGCTGGAGTGGCTCAGTGTGTTGAGCATTGTCTCATGACCCAAACATTTGCCAGTTAGATTCTCCTTTGAGGGAACCAGCTGGGGTTATGGGCACAATCCCCATTCAGGGGCATGGAGAAGGCAGCCAATCTTTGTTTCTCTCCTTTTGTCTCCCTTCTTCTCTCGAAATCAATTACAACACCTTTACATTATTTATCCATTTACAGTTGTAGTCTTCAGGAAACATGGAAATAAGACTTTTTGCCTCATGAAGCATTCTGAGTTTTACAGAATCTAAAATGTGTGCAAATGAACACATCAGTTGCAGACCACACTCCCCCAGAAACCTGTCACCAAAATCTCAAGTTGTTACCCAGTGCCAATATTCGTCTCAAACACCAATATTTGGAAAGGGCAGTGAGTGACTTGGATCCTAATTCCACCCCGGAGGCCTAGAAAAGTATATTACCCAAAAGGCAATGCACCAAAAATGGCTGTTGCTGAAACCGGTTTGGCTCAGTGGTAGAGCATCGGTCTGCAGTCTGAAAGTTCCCAGGTTCGATTCCAGTCAGGGGCATGTACGTTGGTTGCGGGCACATCCCTGGTAGGGGGTGTGCAAAAGGCAGCTGGTCTGAAGTTTCTCTCTCATCGACGTTTCTAGCTATGTCTCTCCCTTCCTCTCTAAAAAATCAATAAAATATATTTTTTCAAAAAAGAGTGGCTGTGTTTAGCTAGTGAAAGCCCAGGATAGGCACATTATCCAGGTGAACTTGATTGAGGGTGTGAATTCTGGGGTCATTTTGACTTTTTGGTCTGTTCAGGGAGACAGAGGCTTTGGAACACCAGGTCTCCAGCAGAACGAGGTGTCAGGCAGTGTCTGAGCTATGCAGGGTGTGTCTCAGGCTTTTAGCCTAAGCAGTCTGGTATTGAGGCCTCTGTACCTCCCAGACTCCTCTCTGCTTACAGAGTTCTATTCAGCCTCAGCTGTTTTAACCTTCCAGCCTTGGGTGTGGGTGACTCTCAGGTCGCAGCATCCAGAACTGTGAGTTGCTCATGAGTGACACGGTGTGATGGGGAAAGAGGGTAAGGGATTTGCAAGACCGCAGTGCAAGGATGTGATGGTGTGACTGAGCAGAGAGGACTTGTTTTGTGTCTAAAGGCAACGAAGAAGATGAGGCAAAGTTTTGTGTGAGGTTTTTTATGTTGATTCTCAGGTAATTGGGGCCATGGATGGTCATGAGCAAAAGAGAGGCATTGTCTGAGATAGGGTTCTGAACTTTTCCCAAAAAATGTCAGAAGTAGAACAGTCTGGGGGAGAGAGGACAGCGCTTAGGGACAGGAAGAAGTCCTGTAAAAGCTAAGGTAAGGACACAATGAGAGAAGTATGTGCACTGAGGACTGAATCTTGAGGCAATACATGCATCTCTAGATCGTGTGGCCGCATTGGTTGGTCAAGGGCACTGAGCAGCCTGAGTCCATGGATCCTGGTGGTGGTTGCCAGACTTTTTAAAAAATATATTTTATTGATTTTTTTTTTTTTTTACAGAGAGGAAAGGAGAGGGATAGAGAGTTAGGAACATCGATGAGGGAGAATCATCGATCAGCTGCCTCTTGCACACCTACTGGGGATGTGCCCACAACCCGGGTACATGCCTTTGACCGGAATTGAACCCACGACCTTTCAGTTCGCAGGCTGACGCTGTATCCACTGAGCCAAACCGGTTTCGGCAGGGTCTCACACTCATGACTTCTGAGATGGTGGGGTTCTGGGACTGTTCTACAACTTTCTCATTCCTTGGCCTTGGGACACTAAGCCCAGTATCCTCAGTTCAGGTCTAAGTCACGTGAGTGTCCCTGTCATTCTCGATCAGTGCATTTAGATGTTAGAGGTCCTCCCAGTCATAGGTCCCAGAATGTGCAAAGGCTGAAGTGAAGACTGAGGTGGTTTAGGAATCAACAGGTATGCTTTATTTTTTATTTTTTATTTTTACTTATTTATATTAAATGAACAAGTTTTTAAAATATATTTTTTAATTGATTTCAGAGAGGAAGGGAGAGGAAGAGAGAAATAGAAACATCCATGATGAGAGAGAATCATGGATCGACTGCCTCCTGTACGACCCCACTGGGGACCAAGACTGTAACCTGAGCATGTGCCCTGATCGGAAATTGAACCCTGACCTCCTGGTTCATAGGTCGACAACCCCTGAGCCATGCTGGATGGTTTTTTTTTTGTTTGTTTTTTTAAATACATTTTTATTGATATTATAGAGGAAGGGAAAGGGTGGGAAGGAGAGAGAGGAGGGGTGAGAGAGAATCATCAATCTGCCATCTCTCACAACTCTCCCACTCGGGATAGCGCACAACCTGGGAAATTGCCTTTGAATGGAATTGAACCCTGGGACACACCTCTTTCCCCCCCTCCAGTGTTCAGTCCAAAGCTTCATTCTGTCAGCCAAATTAGCCAGGGCTACTTTATTCTTTTAAATAGAAGATGGTGACTCTGGGACAGGAATCAGGTCTAGAGGAGGTTTGTGACAGCTCCGATGAGTTTTTTGCAGGTGGTGGGAGCAATGGGAGATTTGGAGCAGTGGAGGCAGGTGATCTAATCTAGGTCTCATTAGACTCCCTGTTCCTGTAACTTGATGGACAATATGGGTTTGAGGGAGGGTGTAAGAGGATGGGAAGGGAACTGCTGTGATAGGGCTGGGGGTGTGAGGTTATCTGGCTCATGATGATGGCGTGGAAGTGCTACAAGCAGTCGGATTCCGGTTCTGTGTTTAAAGCTGGTCCACGAGGATTTTCTAATTATGAGGTTTGGAGAGACAGGGGTAACAGTTAAAGATGATGCGAAAGTTTGGATTTCACAGTTGGACGTATGGAAGCACCAACAACTGAGATGGAGAAATTCATAGTAGAAAGCAATGTTCATTTGGGGATGCAGAATCTTTTATTTTAGGTCTGTTAGGTTTGAGATATTTCTTTTTCTTTTTTTTCTTTTTTTAATAATTTTTAAAAAGGGAGAGAGATAGTTAGAAACATCGATGAGAGAGAATCATCAGTCATCTGCCTCTTGCACACTCCCTACTGGGAAAGTGCCCGCAACCAAGGTACATGCCCTTGACTGGAATCGAACCTGGGACCTTTCAGTTCTCAGGCCAACGCTCTATCCACTGAGCCAAACCAGTCTCGGCAGGTTTGAGATATTTCATAGAGCAACTCATGACAGTGTGGTACTCTGATTAACAGTTCAGAGCGAAAACTTTGTTAATGCTAGTAGCAGAGAGTGTATGCACCAGGGAGGAGTTGTAGATCACCTTTTTATTATTATTATTTTTTTTTAAATATATTTTATTGATTTTTGTACAGAGTGGAAGGGAGAGAGATAGAGAGTTTGAAACATCAATGAGAGAGTCATTGATCAGTTTTCTCTTGCACACCTCCCACTGGGGATATGCCCGCAACCAAGGTACATGCCCTTGACCGGAATCGAACCCCGGGCCCTTCAGTCCCCAAGCCGATGCTCTATCCATTGAGCCAAACCGGTACCGGCACCTTTTTATTATTTTTAAAGTGGGTTTCTTCTTTATTAAAAATATATATTTTATTGATTTTTTACAAAGAGGAAGGAAGAGGGATAGAAAATTAGAAACCTATATGAGAGAGAAACATCGATCCGCTGCCTCCAGCACTACTTGCACTGGCGATGTGCTTGCAACCCAGGCAAGTGCCCTTGACCAGGATAGAACAAGGGATCTTTCAGTTTGCAGGTCCCTAAGCCGACACTTTATCCACTGAGTGTTTAAAAAGTAAATGTACACCACCTCCAGTTTTACTCTGTTTGAATTACTCTTCCTTGTGTCCAGTTACAAAATCAAAAGGTGATCTAGCCCTAACCTGTATGGCTCAATGGATAGAGCATCAGCTTGTGGACTGAAGGGTCCCAGGTTCGATTCCAGTCAAGGGCATGTACCTTGTTTGTGGGCACATTCACCGTAGGGGGTGTGCAGGAGACAGCTGATTGATGTTTATCTCTCATCGATGTTTCTAACTTTCTGTAAGAAATCAGTTTTAAAAAAAAGAAAAAAATTGGCTCTCAAAAGAAATTTCAATCCTTATATTATTGATATTTGAGTCTGTTGACTAATGAGTGTGCTGACCACTTGCCAAGAGTGTTTAACTCAGACTGGTGTACTTCCTTAGGGGCATGAGGGGTCATCTGTGAGACTCACTGGGTGTGGCAAAGAGGGTCATGGGTGATGGCACTTGAATGATGGAGGCCGTGACTCATGAAGAGACATCCAGTGCAGGAGCACTGAAGTTGCGTTCTGGATATCTGAGATCGGATGGGTTCTCACTAGGTAAGGTGGAAGGAACAAATCAGGGAGGGAAGCCTTCCTCTCAGGACTCAAGGCTCTGTCTTCAGTGTGGGCTGTCAGTGTCAGGTTAGTGCTTCATTCAGTTGGAATTTGCCAAGCATTCTCTGCACCACACTCTGAGTAAAGGGTAGGAAGCCAAGGAGATGACCCTGAGGGCTGTGGTGCTGGGAGTGCAGGTGTGAGAGAAATGTGGTAGAAAGAGTGAGTGCCTTTGGAGAGTGAGTGTGAATTCATGGCTACAGCACACTGACACTGACATACAAGTGAATGAAGGGTAATCCCCTTTCTGGTGGTGTCTCTATGATATCCTATGGGGAATTTTAGGATTTCTATTGAAGGAGGGGATGTTGTCATGCTACATGCTAGGTCCAAATTTTAGATGCCAATAATGTACACACTTGCCTGTTGGTGTTGAGGGCTGATACAGTGATCCATTGGAAAGAGATAGCATATATCAGAGTCACCTGGGCTTGAAAATCTCCACTGCCATGGAAAAGGAAAAGGGAGATACACATTACAGAGATGGTGAATTTGAATTTGGCAAAGATGCTGATTCGGAAACAACTGATCCGCATCGTGACATATTTGTGTTATCTCTGGAGTTGTGCCTCTGGGAATGAAGATATGTGAGCGAAAGTGTGCTTCAAAGAATTATATGGAGCAGGTAGTGAAAAGTGATGGCCTCAGTACCCTGGATTGAGATTGGAAGGGTAAAGTGTGATGCCATGTTCTTTGGTGTCTTAGAGGGACAGTCCAGGGCACTGCCAGGGGGATGCCTGATGAGACTAGTGTCAAATCACTCACACTCTCTCTGTGGCCCACAACTCTCCCTCCCTATGTTCCTGACAAGCACTTACTGACCAGACCCAATGTGAGGCCCAGAGCACAGGTATCATCAATCAGCTTACCTGCCTTATTGTCTAGGGAAATCACAGTATCTGTAGGAATACAAGGAGAGACTGACTTGGAAGACCTGGTATATTTTCAGATGTTGGGAGTAGAGGGGTCCAATATATTGGGAGGATGATGACCGTGAACTCCTAGGAGATAAGCTGATCATGGACTGAATTGTCTCCAATATGCCAGAACATGAACTTTGCGGACGTGGCCGTTGCCTTCTCTCTGGAGGAGTGGGAGCTCCTGGATGAGGCTCAGAGACTCCTGCACTGCGATGTGATGCTGGAAGTGTTTGCACTTGTCTCATCTGTTGGTAAGCCCTTCACATCTCTCATCGTGCCCTGAGGTGACGTCCTCTCTTCCTGTATTCTCCACCTGTTGCTCTCTCTCCCACGTAGCCAGTCCGAGGACTCTGCTACTTCCCCCAACTTTATTGTCAGCCAAGCTGTGGCTGCCAGTGCTGAGCTATGAGGAGAGTCTCCAGGAGCATCCTTAGAACCCATTGTGTCCCAAAGTGCAGAAAGTGTCTGGGAATCAGGAATTCTACAGACAGACCAATAGATTCACCTTGCTCTTCCTTTTCCTGGGAAGTTTATTATGTCCACATTCATGGCTTTCACTTTTGTCCATTCCCTGGAGCTTACAGTCCTTGGTGACTGCCTGAGCCAGGTTTTGGTCTTTACTTACAGAAACCATGAACAGTTATTCTGAGGCCCTCCGTCAGTTTTATCTGTAATATTCTTTCATCGAATACTATTGCATGCCACGGTGCTCTGGGCCAGGGCTTGCTGCTCACCTCTGTTGTCCTTCATTAATACTCAGAAAATTTAGGTTCCAGCCGAAACCAGTTTGGCTTAGAGGATGGTGGGTAGGCCTGCGGACCTAAAGGTCCCAGGTTCAATTTCGATCAAGGGCACATACCTTGCTTGCAGGCACATCCCCAGTGGGAGGTGTGCATGAGAGAGCTGATAGATGTTTCTTTCTCATCGATGTTTCCAACGCTCTATCACTCTCCATTCCTCTTTGTAAAAAAATCAATAAAATATATATTTTTTTAAAAAATTAGGTCCTAGTTATTTGTATGATAGAAGGTACAATGAGAACATAGTGTTTGCTCCTGATGAATATGCACAATGGACTCAGAGAAGGCTGGGCACTTCTGAGTGGCAACTGGGGGAAGGTATGGTACCAGTGCTGTGCTCAGATCATACCACGAGTCTGCTCCTGGCAACACTGTTTAGGTGCAGGTTTAGGTGCCACTGGCCAAAACTCATTTCTACCTTTTCTTTCTCATACTTGACAGTTTGCTGACTTGTCATTTCATCAGACTGTTGGCTACCTTCCCCTTTTGTGGCTTTTTACGTCACCTGTTCCTCTGCACTGCTGTCTGTGCAGTGTTCACAAACACTGTCCTGCACTTGTGTTGTGAGGGGCAAACACACTGAGTCGCCAGATTATTATGATCTCTGAATGCATAATCTGGCCACTCAGTGGATTTGTATCTCAAATGGGTACCAAAAGTATTGTAGACTTTTGCTGGAGATCAACCATCTGTTTGCCCTGAGCTTTCTATCAAACCAGTGATAATGGGAAAACTGATCAAGTGCACAATTTACAGTATCTTTGATATCAAATAAATTTAGAGAAGTACACTGAGTGGCCCGTTATTATGAATTCAGAGATCATAATAATCTTGCCATTTAGTGTGTATGCATAAGTAGTCCTCCAACACCAGATGCTAGTTTCCAATTTAACTTGGAACAAACAGTTATCCTCCTGCACAGCCATCCCATGGCACCAGCAGAGAAGCACAAGTGGACATTCTTAGCAGAACAAGGAGCAGGAGATTCTGCTTCTCTTCCATGTGAAGTCTGCCATCTTTTTGTCATATTTCTGGTGAAGTTTTTTCTGGTTTGTTAGCTTCAGAGGCGCATAATTTTACAGTGACTTCTTATTAAGCTTTCCTGCAGATCTCCTATTTTGAGACAATTGCATGGAAAAAGTGTAGTATGTGGAATACACTTTTGTATTATAACTTCCTCCTGATACCATAGTGAATATCATTTTTTTTAACCATTTTCTGTTTTTAGGTTGTTGGCATAAAATGGAAGATAAGGCGACACATTCTGAGCAGAGTGTATCTCTACAAGAAGAGTCTTCTTCTGAGACAGCTTCAGCTACTCAGACCACCCATCTCTGTAAGAAGTGTTTCTCAGTGTTGAAAGACATTCTGCACATGACTGAGTCACAAGCAGCAGACTTTGAGCAGAAAGCCTTCTTCAGTGATGCATGTGTGAGAGGCTTCTGTTTCACTGCAGTCCCTCATGAGCAACAGAGGGTTTTCGGTGGAGAGAAGTTCTGGAAAGAAGCTATGGACAGGACCTCGTTTGTGAACAGGTTCATCTTGCACTTAACATGGGTGCCTTCAATGAGTAGGGAGGTTGGGAAAGTCTTTCCTGCCATCTCAGATCTTCCTCAGATCCGAGAAACTCTCAAGACTGAGGAGCCACCAGGTAGCAGTGAGATTACACAGGAATTTTTCAGTGGAAAATGTCACCATCATTGGGGTGAAGGTAAAACAGCAGCCGGCATCAACCAGAAAGTTGTTCAGCATCAGAGTATCTGCTCTGGAGAAGTGAATTTTGAGGGTAACAAATGTGGAAAGTGTTTTAGATGTACCATGAACCTCAATCAAAAAAGGGAAATTCCCACTGGAGAAAATCCCTATGAATGTACTGATTGTGGAAAGTTCTTTAGACAAAGGTCTATCCTCATTCAACACCACAGAGTTGACACTGAAGAAAAATCGTGTGAATGCAGTGAATGTGAGAAATCTTCTAGCTGCAAAACTAGCTTGGTTACACGCCAGAGAGTTCATACTGGCGAGAAGCCATATGAGTGTACAGATTATGGGAAGACCTTCAGTCATAGCTCAAGTCTCATTCAACATCAGAGAGTTCATTCTGGAAAAAAGCCTTATGAGTGTAGTGAATGTGGGAAGTCCTTTAGTGAAAGATCTTGCTTAAATGTGCACCACAGAATTCATACTGGAGAAAAACCATATAAGTGTAGTGATTGTGGGAAATCTTTTAGGTCCAGTACTCACCTTCGTATCCACAAGAGAGTTCACACTGGAGAGAAGCCTTATGAGTGTAGTGATTGTGGAAAGTCCTTCAGTATGAGCTCTACCCTCATTCGCCACCAAAGAGCTCACACTGGAGACAAGCCTTATGAGTGTAGTGAATGTGGGAAGTCCTTTAGAGAAAGATCTGGTTTAAATAATCACCACAGAATTCACACTGGAGAAAAGCCATATGAGTGTAGTGATTGTGGGAAATCGTTTAGGACCAATACTCACCTTCATATGCACAAGAGAGTTCACACTGGAGAGAAGCCATATGAGTGTACAGACTGTGGAAAATCCTTCATTTTTAGCTCTACCCTCATTAAGCACCAGCGAGTTCACACTAGAGAAAACCCAGCTGTGTGCGGTGACTGTGGGAAATCTTTTAGGTGCAAAAGTCAACTTCAAAACCACAAGAGAGTTCATACTGGAGAGAAACTATATGAGTGCACAGCATGTGGGATGTCCTTCAGGAGTAGCTCTAATCTAATTCGACATAAGAAAATTCACACCGGAGAAAAGCCGTATGTCTGTAGTGACTGTGGAAATTCCTTTAGGCGGAATGCTCACCTCCTTAGGCACAAGAAAGTTCATACTAGAGAGAAGTCATGATTGTACAGATTGTAGGAAGTCCTTCAGTCGTATTTCAAGCCTCATTCAACATCAGAGAGTTCATTCTGGAGAAAAGCCATGTGAGTGTAGTGATTGTGGGAAATCTTTTACTTTCAATAGTCACCTTAATATCCACAAGAGTTCGTTCTGGAGAAAAGCCATGTGAGTGTAGTGATTGTGGGAAATCTTCTACTTTCAATAGTCACTTTAATATCCACAAGAGTTCATACTGGAGAAAGGCCATATAAGTGTTGTGATTCTGAGGTGGCTTTCATTAATAGCTCTAACCTGACTCACCACCACAGAGTTCACACTGGAGACGATCCTTATAAATGTAGTGAATGTGCTAAGTCCTTCAGTGAAAGATCTGGCTTACGGGTCGGATGCAGCCAGGCCCGGAGCAGCAGCAGCCACTCCCGGAGCAACCAGATCAGGAGCAGCAGTGGCCAGACCCGGAGCAGCTGGTTGTGGAACGGACCAGAGCAACAGAGGCCAGGCCCGGAACAGCTCGCTCCTCGCCTGCCTCCACCCCAAGACTGCCTCTCAGACATGGCTGGAAACTTTTGGGGGAACTTGAGGGTCTGCTGAATCAAGTGAGGAAGTCTTAGATCTGGATGTGTTGAGTTAGTATAGGGCTGGGGTGTTGATCTGTGAGAGCCTTGTGTGGGGCCTGGATGAGGTTGGTTGATCTATTTGGAGGTGTCTTTTGTGTGAAGTGTATCCCTGGGCATGTGGAGGTATTATTGATTTGAGAAAATGTTAAGTAACTGATTTACTATCTGAAAAATTTAAAGTTCTGAAAGTTTGGGGTCTCTTGCCAGAAAGAGGTTTTAAGGCTAGCACCTTGATTTTAATGGAGAAAGGAAATGACGGTCCCTTCCCACCCAGAACAGGTAATCCAATTCCAACCAGCACCTATCTTTAAACAATGTGTCCATTTACACTTGAATGGCTGCGCCTTTTGATAGCCTAAGGGCAAGTTTACATGTGGACAAGTTTGCTCTCAGTTCCCAGGGCAGAAAAAAAACAAGGTTTAAAATCATTAGATTTTAAAATTTATTCTTAGAAGTGTAAAAGTTTATTAATTAAAAAAAAAAAAGATTGAAAAACCTGATGAACAATAATAACGGTTCATTGTAGTAGAGTTGGCTATATGGAAGGGGAGTGGACTGACTGTTCTCAGGGCGGGGGGGAAGGGAGGGAGGTAGAGACTGAACATAAACTGTGCGCCTATAGATGAGGACAGTTGGGGGTGAGGAGGGGGCGGAGGATGGGGTGGGAACCTGGTGGAAGGGGGAAGAAATGAGGAGCCTTTGTAATAATATGAACAATAAAGATTGATTAAAAAATAAATAAATAAATAAATAAATAAATAAATAAATAGATCTGGCTTAAATACGCACCACAAAATTCACACTGGAGAAAAGCCGGATGAATGTAGTGACTGGAAATTCCTTTAGGCAAAATTCTCACCTCCTTAATCATAAGAGAATTCATACTTGAGAGAAACCATATGAGTATACAGATTATGGGAAGTGCTTCTGTGGTCGCTCAAGCCTCATTCAACATAACAGGGTTCATTCTGGAGAAAAGCCATATGACTGTACAGAAAGATTGTGAGAAGTCCTTCAGTCGTACCTCAAGACTGATTGAACATCAGAGAGTTCATTCTGGAGAAAAGCCATATGATTGTAGTGATTGCTGGAAATCCTTTAGGTTTAATTTAGCTAAGAAATTTTTATGGTGAGTGTTTTTCTCATGTATTGATTTACACTGTCTTTATATCTTTTGTTAAAATGTCAGCTCAGACTTTTTTAAATTGTTTAAAGTCATTTTAATCTAAAGGAGTCTTGTGTATCATCTAAGATGTATGTTTGAATTTCTTTCCTTTCTCAATGACTCCATGACTTCTTTGTCGTATGAAACCATAGGTTTTGAATCTTGTAAGCAGCATTGTTTCCCACACATTTATTTTAAAATAAAATGTTATGGCTTTTAGAGAGAGAAAGGGAGATTGTTAGAGAGATAGTAAGATGGAACAGAGAGAACATTATCCATTGGTGCCTCCTGCATGACCCACACTACAGATGGAACTTGTAATCCAGGCATGTGCTCTGACCGGGATTCAAACCAACGTCCTCTTGGTTCCTGATTTGATGCTCAATTGCTAAACCATACTGGTTGGGCATGTTTTTCACAAATTTAATCCTGAAGGCAATTTAAATTCCACTTGTACCATACAATGACAAGTAAATCTGCATTGCTAACGTGCTTTTCCTTTTTTTTTTTTTTTTTTTTCTAAGTTTACCAGTAAGCATTCAATAGTATAAGTGAAGTCATGGTTTGTAGTATTTCTCAATTTTTTTGTGTAAATATCACCATTGTCAGCTTCCAAATACCAAAATGATGGCACTGAACAGGGGCATGATAAGATACTTCAGTAGCTCGTCATGATGTTTTTCCAACATACCGGTAGAGTAAGAACAAATATGTTCATAATAAAATAGTACAACAATTGAAAAGGGGCAAGTTTTAAACATTTAAAACTGATGTAAGTACAACTGACTTAAAACATACATTCAAAAATATTGAGTTCAGAGAGGGAGAGTGAGATAGAAACATCAATGATGACAGAGAATCACTGGTAGGCTGCTTCCTGTACCTTTCTTTCCCTGGGAATTGAGCCTGCAACTCATGTATGTGCCCTGTTGGTTCAGAAGTCTGTGCTCAACCACTTAACCACACCAGCTGGGCTATAGTATTTTTAAAAATGTATAAGACGAAACCGGATTGGCTCAGTGGATAGAATGTTAGCCTGTAGACTGAAAGGTTCCAGGTTCGATTCCAGTCAAGGGCATGTACCTTGGTTGCAGGCATATTTCCAATAGAGGGTGTGCAGAAGACAACTGGTGGATGTTTCTAATCGATTTTTCTAGCTCTCCCTCTCCCTCTCTAAAAAAAAATCAATAAAATATATTTTTAAAATTAATATTTGTATTTTTTATTTTCAATATTTTATTGATTTTTTTACAGAGAGGAAGGGAAAGAATCGGAAACATTTATGAGAAACATCGATCAGCTGCTTCCTGCATACCTCCCACTGGGGATGTGCCTGGAACTAAGGTACAGACCCTTGACCGGAATTGAACCTGGGACCCTTCAGTCTGCACACTGACACTTTATCCACTGAGCCAAACTGGTCAGGGCTTGACTTTTTTTTTTTTTTTTTCCTTTAAATCAATCTTTATTGTTCATATTATTACAAAGGTTCCTCATTTCTTCCCCCCTCCAGGTTCCCACCCTACTCTCCACCCATCCCCCATTGTCCTCATCCATAGGTGCACAGCCTAGTTCAGTCTCTTCCTCCCTCCCTTTCCCCGACAATAAATCCCTTTTCAGATAGTAAATCAGTTACTTAGCATCTTCTCATATCAATAATACCTCCACATGCCCAATGATACACTTCACACAAAAGACATTTCCAAATAGGTCAACTAGCCTCATCCAGGCCCCACCCAAGGCACTCACAGATCAACACCCAGCCCTATACTAACTCAACACATCCAGATCTAAGCCTTCATCACTTAACTCAGCAGACCCTCAAGTTCCCGCAAAAGTTTCCAGACATGTCTGAGAGGCAGCCGTGGGGCAGGGGCAGGCGAGGAGCGAGCTGTTCCGGGCCTGGCCTCTGTTGCTCTGGTTCGTTCCACAACCAGCTGCTCCGGGTCTGGTCACTGCCGCTCCCGACCTAGTTGCTCTGGACTTGGCTGCTGCTGCTCCAGCCTGGCCACTCCCAGCCTGGCAGCCACTGCTCCGGGCCTGGCTGCACCCGACCCGGCTGTTCCGGGCCTGGCCACTCCCAGCCTGGCAGCCGCTGCTCTGGGCCTGGCTGCACCCGACCCAGCTGTTCCGGGCCTGGCGGCTCCCAGCCTGGTAGCTGCTGCTCCAGGCCTGGCCGCTCAGGGCTGGACTTTTTATTGTTGATAGTATTACAGATGTCATCCTCTTCCCCCTTATATATATTCTTTGGTGGAAGAACTCTCTTCCCCCTCCCCTCAGAAATCTGTCAATATCGACCAGTTAAGCAAATCTCCAGGCCCATCTCCTCCAGTCCCACTTGTGGGGCCTCAACACCTTAGTCAACAAGGTCATCCTCTGGGTTGAGAGCTGTCCTCTGGCGTTGGAAAAACTGCATTACCCAGAAAGCACAACGCCTGTGTTAGGACAGGCAGTGAGAATTCTGGTGCCTGCACATCCCCTTTGGGCGGGACTGCCAGATCCATCCATCCTCCCAACTGTCATTTTGAACTCTTTAGTTGGTTCACAGACTCATAAGCTTCAGCGCTCTTTTTTTTTTTCTTTTCATTATGTTCATTCCAATAAATCTTGAGTTTTGGGCAGCTCCAGGACAAAGTCCAGGTGGAGGAGGAGGAAGCAAAGCATCTTGACTGACTTGGTCATTTCCTACTAATCCTCACTCCTCTATGTTGCCTCTGCACAGTCCCCCAAAAGAGGCTGGCACCATGGGGTTGCCTTACTGGGGCCCATCATGTTGTGCAGGTTCTGCTACTGACACCCTGATGTTGGCTGCCATCAGTGATAAGCTTTGACCAATTAAATGAGGTGCCAGTCAAGCCTGTAACCCCTAAGAGAAGAGTCTTGAACCAGTGAGATGGGCAGCCCTCTCTGTCCATCTCTGATAACATCCAGCAGGAAGCTACGTGTTGGCTGCCCCTTTATCCTGATTCCAGGAGAACCAGGGTGTTCATGGGCTATGAACAAGAAAGTTCACTTCTTTAAGCCACTGAAGCTTTGAGGCTGCTCAGTGCCCACAATATCATCTAGCCTGTCCTAATGGGAATGCATCCCCTATTCCACCCTCTAGGAGGCAGCAGAGCCTAACATTAGAAGCTAGAGCCTTGTTAGAGAAACCTGGGTTTGACTTCCAGCCCTGCCTTTATTAACTCTACAATCAGTCAATTTATATTGACTCTCTGAGC